TAGAGTTAATGGCCAGGTTAACTATCACTTGCCTAAGAAGAATGTCTTGGGGGAAGACATAACTTGATGGAGGGAGGAGAGACATAGAGAAGGTTCTGTGTGCATTGTGACAGATACCAATCCTTGGAGTCTAGGAATAGGTGAGGAAACTAAATGAGATGGTATAATGTCGTGGCTCAGAGCATGTACTTTGAAATCAGAATACCTGTTTTGAATCCTGGTTCTATGTTTGTTATTTGTGAGAACTTTAACCTGATTAATGCTTTTAACAATAATTTGTTCAACACCTTTATTGAATATCTACTTTGTACTAGGTATTACACTGGGCACTTGATATTCCCATGTAAACAGAGAGTTGGAATTAGAGTGGGGGTTTATTTAGACAGGCTTAGCATCAGGGGTGGCCTTAGGCTTCCCTGTCTTCCTTTACATATCTCATCTTTTTGCTCTCACCCATGCTCATTGTGATCTATCGATCAAGGCCTCCTTTCTCATAAGCCTTTTCTCTTACCTGGGCTTTTTGTATTTGCTCTTTCTTCTAATTGAAGTTCTTTTCCCTGGTTCTTTCTATGGCTTACTCACTCTTAGTAAGCCCAAATGTCAACTGGGTCCATATTGCCTCCTACTTTCTCATTACCTTTTATAGTATATATTCCAGTGTGGGATCCTGATTTATTTTTTCTTTTTTTTAATAAATTAATTTTTATTGGTGTTCAATTTACCAACATACAGAATAACACCCAGTGCTCATCCCGTCAAGTGTCCCCCTCAGTGCCCGTCACCCATTCACCCCCACCCCCCACCCTCCTCCCCCTCCACCACCCCTAGTTCATTTCCCAGAGTTAGAAGTCTTTATGTTCTGTCTCCCTTTCTGATATTTCCCACACATTTCTTCTCCCTTCCCTTATATTCCCTTTCACTATTATTCATATTCCCCAAATGAATGAGAACATACACTGTTTGTCCTTCTCCGATTGACTTACTTCACTCAGCATAATACCCTCCAGTTCCATCCACGTTGAAGCAAATGGTGGGTATTTGTTGTTTCTAATGGCTGAGTAATATTCCATTGTATACATAAACCACATCTTCTTTATCCATTCATCTTTCGATGGGCACCGAGGCTCCTTCCACAGTTTGGCTATTGTGGACATGGCTGCTAGAAACATCGGGGTGCAGGTGTCCCAGCGTTTCATTGCATCTGAATCTTTGGGGTAAATCCCTAACAGTGCAATTGCTGGGTCGTAGGGCAGGTCTATTTTTAATTCTTTGAGGAACCTCCACACGGTTTTCCAGAGTGGCTGCACCAGTTCACATTCCCACCAACAGTGTAAGAGGGTTCCCTTTTCTCCGCATCCTCTCCAACATTTGTGGTTTCCTGCCTTGTTAATTTTCCCCATTCTCACTGGTGTGAGGTGGTATCTCATTGTGGTTTTGATTTGTATTTCCCTGATGGCAAGTGATGCAGAGCATTTTCTCATGTGCGTGTTGGCCATGTCTATGTCTTCCTCTGTGAGATTTCTCTTCATGTCTTTTTCCCATTTCATGATTGGATTGTTTGTTTCTTTGCTTTTGAGTTTAATAAGTTCTTTATAGATTTTGGAAACTAGCCCTTTATCTGATATGTTATTTGCAAATATCTTCTCCCATTCTGTAGGTTGTCTTTGAGTTTTGTTGACTGTATCCTTTGCTGTGCAAAAGCTTCTTATCTTGATGAAGTCCCAATAGTTCATTTTTGCTTTTGTTTCTTTTGCTTTCGTGGATGTATCTTGCAAGAAGTTACTGTGGCTGAGTTCAAAAAGGGTGTTGCCTGTGTTCTCCTCTAGGATTTTGATGGAATCTTGTCTCACATTTAGATCTTTCATCCATTTTGAGTTTATCTTTGTGTATGGTGCAAGGGAGTGGTCTAGTTTCATTCTTCTGCATGTGGATGTCCAATTTTCCCAGCACCATTTATTGAAGAGACTGTCTTTCTTCCAGTGGATCGTCTTTCCTCCTTTATCGAATATTAGTTGACCATAAAGTTGAGGGTCCACTTCTGGGTTCTCTATTCTGTTCCGTTGATCTATGTGTCTGTTTTTGTGCCAGTACCACACTGTCTTGATGACCACAGCTTTGTAGTACAACCTGAAATCTGGCATTGTGATGCCCCCAGATATGGTTTTCTTTTTTAAAATTCCCCTGGCTATTCGGGGTCTTTTCTGATTCCACACAAATCTTAAAATAATTTGTTCTAAGTCTCTGAAGAAAGTCCATGGTATTTTGATAGGGATTGCATTATACGTGTAAATTGCCCTGGGTAACATTGACATTTTCACAATATTAATTCTGCCAATCCATGAGCATGGAATATTTTTCCATCTCTTTGTGTCTTCCTCAATTTCTTTCAGTTGATTTATTTTTTCTATGTTATTTCTCTCTTCCATAAGAATGTTCGTTCTAGGAAGACTGGGAGTATATTAGTCTCATTTATCATTTTGGTCTCCAGTCCCATTATAGTTTCTAAAACATAGTAGATACTCATTAAATATTTGTTGGACAGATGAATGAAAGCTGATACTTGTAGGAATCAGCCATATGAAAGTAGGAAGCAAGTGCTAAGACCCTAAGATGAGAAAGAACTTCCTGTAGTTAAAGAACTGTAATGGTAAAGTGACAGAGGCACTTTGTTTGGCTTTGTAAATCCTGGCAAGTAGTTTGGATTTAGTTTGAATTTTAGTGACAAGATTTTAGAATGGAGCTTTAATGTAATCTAATTTATTTTCCGAAAGATTTCTTGGCAGCTCTGTGAAAAGGGATTAGGGAAAGAGAAAACTGGAGTAGTAGGAGATGGATTAGGAGACTTTTTTAGTGGATGAGAACACTGCCTGGATTAGGTTGGTAAAAATGGCCATGAAGAAATGAGAATGATACAGGATTTATTTTGAAGGTGGGGCTAACATGACTTGCTGATATGAGGAACGAAGAAATAGAGTTAAATTAATAAGAATGATACTCAGATTTCTTGTTTGAGCAACTTGGTAGAAAGTGGTGTTATTTACTGAAATGGAAGATCTGAATAAGGAACAAGTTTGGAGGAGGCATTAGGAATTCCATTTGGGTCACGTTTAAGGTACTAATTAGAATTCCACATGGAAATATAAAGCAGAAAGTTGGATTCCAAATAAGAAATGTAGAGGACGTTTGGGTTGGGATAGAAAACCATCTATGTTCTAACAGTCTCTAAAAGATTTCTTTGGAAATCTTTCTTTGGAAAACTTCTATTTGGGAGACTGTTAGAATATAGATGGTATTTAAATACATGGTGATGAGAGATATTACTTAGTGTGTGTGGCAAGGAGTCAGAAAAAGGCTCAGGACTTGAATTTGGGGGAATTTCTAACATTTAGATGTTAAGTCTAGGAGTGGCAGCTTGGGCTTGCAGAAGGATTGGCCACAGAAAGAACACTGGAATGTGTAGCATCTTGGCAATCTAAGATTCATGGGACAACCTGGAAGGGTAAAGACATGGCCTCTAATACATACTACATTTTTGGAAACATTACCTGCAAAATAAAAAACCTTTGGAGGACTTGAAGGATTTAAAAGTTAAAAGGAAGGATATTCATATGTCAAACAGAATTAAATGATGGCTAACTAATTACACAATCCTAGAACAGATAATTATTCTTTGTTTTGATATTATTGGAAATTTTGAGTTTTGATAAAGATTGAAGTAATTAATTTTTTAAAGTTGTAACCTGAAGCTTAGAGTAAAGCGTACTTTGGCCAAGAATAATGGTGTTAGTGTCACCTAAAGGCAAAATGAGATATTGCAGCTATATTTATATGAGGCAAAGAACAGGGTAACCTAACAAATGAATAACAGAGTAACCTAACTGAAATGAGAAAAAACAATTCTGGGGGTAAAGTGTGGATCAGCAGACTTAGAGTCCTGTGTTATTTAGCTCCAGTTTACTTGTCTTACCCCTCTATCACGTTAACCTTTGGTCACTGAACAGATTGTTTAATACATGGTTCTTTTTTGTCTTTTACATTTCAGCTCAAATATTTCCGAGTCCTTTCCTATCACCTTAACTTAAAGTTGTCCCTATACTTTTTACAGCGATTCTTTGTCATAGTAACCTATCTTCTTCATAGCCTTTAGAGTGATTCAGAATTGCCTTATTTGCTTACTTGCTTGTTTTCTTACTAGTATAAGCTCTGGCAGAGCAGACACTTTGTCTGCCTTATTCAATCATAGAACCCCAGTGCTGGGTACTATGTTATATAGTAAACAAGTTCAGTTAAAATTAGTTCTGTGAATATTTAAACTTCTGGAAGTGATAGACAATGTTGAGTTTCTGTGCTGTACAGATCTATCCAGAAAACAGAATTACACTATATTTGATGACAAAAACATTGTTTGCCACATGAATGCAATGTGAAAGCCTTGGCCTTTTCCCCCTTCCTTGTACTGATAAGTGATAATGTGTCTGGAAAAGAAAAGATACATGGCTTAGGGTGTTGAATTCTTTATTAATCGGTCAAGCTCAGTGGCACAGATGAGATATTTTAAGGTACAATACCTGGTCTTGAGATAAGTTTTTGGAAACATTTTGATTTAATTATAAAGTGATTTCAGTGAATATTTGTGTGAGTGAATTTGGTTTCTAGTATCATGCTTAATTCTATATATTAAAAAACCAAAAATATTATTTCTAGGAGAAATACAGAGTCAAACAGTAGTAAATCTGTTTCGTTGTGACATGGGAGGGTCTGTATTGTTTTTCAGCGAATAATATAGTTCTCTTAGTCTGGAAACACAGGGTGAAGAGAGTACATTTCCATTATGTGGCCCAGTCCAAGAAGGTAGCCTCTCTAGTTTTGAGATAATTACCTAGCCAGCAGAATTCTTCACATGAACCATTTTTAAAGGCTAAGTATTGATCAGGTACTTAATAGTTCATGTTTTTGTTCATAACATATGTATATTTTAAATCCCTGTGGTTTTTGACTAGGTGGATGTGGAAAGAGAAGTCTGTAGAATTGAAATGGAGGTCAGAGCTTCATTACAGAAGGTTAGTGGGTCATCGGATTCTGTGGCTACACTGAACAGTGAAGAATTTGTTTTGGTTCCTCAGCATGCAGATGATACTTCTGCAAAAGATGATGAAAAACCTGAACTGAAGGTATTTCTTTCCTTTTCTTTCCCTTTTCCCTCCCTTCCTTCCTTCCTTTCTACAAATGGTACTATTTTAAATTATTGTTTTTTAGTCACGAGGTAAGACTGATCTCAAGAGATGTGTAAAATACAAAGGTTTTTCTCAATACCTACCTTGAATAGCATCAGTGTTTGATTTTTTGTATAGGCTAATTATTTGGTTTCTGTATTTTTAAAGTTTGCTTTTGGTTATTTATATTTTATTTCAGAATTTTATAAAGAAGGAATAGAAGGGAAAATAGGAAAGGGTAATTGGGGAATTAGACTTAAATTTACATAAGACTTAACCATTACCTGGATATTTTTGTCTCTCTTACTGTTGAGTTTTTAAAGTTAATTATATAAAAGTTATGTTTATTTTTACTTCAGAAATAACTTTATGGTTTTTATGTTTTAAGTCAACTGGCAACACTCTAGCATGTGATTTAACAGTTGACTTGTCTGAATATTTTTTAGGCATATGTCTTATATTTTTAGCAGTTATATTTTTACTCAAACAAAAATGATCCTTTTTCATTTTTGTTGCCTTTCCTAACTCAAAGGTAAAGAATTAAACAAGCCCAGGTATACATGCTTGAGAATTGCATAACCACCTTCTGAAAGCAGGAATAGAGAAACTAGTTGAAAGTACTATATATTGTTTATAACTTCTATTTTGTATTAACTATGGCATCAAAAGTATATATCAATCTAATAAAATTTTATAAAAATTATGTTATTAAATACGCATTTACATTATGTTGAGGATATATAGTTTTATAAGTATATTAAAGCAATCAATGGTTTTATTTAAATTTAAGTATATCTGTATTTAAATGACTATTTAAATTTATTTAAATACCTGGATTTTAGTATTAATGTGTTTAAAACATTTATTAGGCTTTGTGTTTCACCTGCTTTTGAGAGAAGGATGAGTCAACTTAAATGTTAGGGAATTTCCAATACTCCTCTTGGCAGCAAGCAAGCAGAATTTATAAAGAAATCACAAATATATTATGCTATGATAACAAGAAATATGACTTTTTAAATAGTAGAGTAAGCACTCTATTTAAACTTAACTGTTTTTCCCTGTAAAACACATAAATTTAAGGTTACTTGGTTTTTAGAATGTGTTCCTAAGGAAAAAAAGAAAAGGAAAGGAAGGAAAAATCTCTGTAAATTAGATCTTGGATCAGATAAAGTTAGGTGCAACTGTATAAGTTCTTGGTATTTAGTAATTTATGTTTAAATTAAAAATTTAGCTTGTTTTAATATCTTCTAGAAATAAAATATTTTCATTAAGCCCCAGAACCATAGTATGATTGAAACAGAATTGTCTTGCTTTCCCTATAGGTAGTTTCTAATGGTGATGAACAATTGGAGAAAGCCATGGAAGAGATTCTGAGAGATTCTGAGAAAGGGCAAAGCGGTCGTCTTGTTGATTGTCGAAGTTCCAGTGAGATTTCAGACCATTCATTTGGAGATGTTTCAACCAGTCAAACAAATAAGCCATCGCTTCAATTAATTTTGGATCCCTCAAATACAGGTACTATATCAAGCTCTTAAACACCATAAGAGAAATGGGATAAAGTGATCATGAAAATTTTAAGATGAAAATTTAGAAGTCCTTTTCATTTTGTTTTCTAAGATCAGGGCTACCAGCCACCAGGTTTTTGGTTCTAGTCAACAGTTCCCATTTTGGTTCTTACATTTTTCTACATGTGAAATCAATGTCAGTGTTATTTGAGAACAGGGACTATATCTGCGTCTTTATTTTACTCTTAGCACTTGGCACATAGTAGGCACTTAGGAAATACTTACTGAACAATTGAATAAATTCTTGTGTATCCGGAAATAGTGTAATGGACGCTATCTTTGATGTGATATACCTTTTTACTTAGTTTGGCTACAGTTATTTTAGATTATCATTTGTGAAAATTCTAAGTAAAAAAGCATATCAATTCCATCAGTGTATTAAGTAATAAATACATTTGTGATTGAATGGGATTTATAGTAGAAATACCAGCTTATAATGCAAAATTGTTTTGAGTATAAAAAAAAGCCAACCCAACCAAAGCCAACTCCTACTTAAGCTGAGTTAAACACTAGGGATGTTGTTTGATCTGGGCTCTGATAGTGTTTTTTGTAAACTACTCAGCTTTGATCTTCTCCATGTCACCTTTCTAAGTGGCTTCCTTTATGGTCATAAAGTAGTTAGCAGCAAAAATTGGTAACTAGAGCCAGGTGATTTGTTCATGGCTGGTGGCAGAGTGGAAAGGCTCTCTTTTTTTTACCTATTGAACAAAAGTTGCAAGTTTCCCTACATTGAACCATTTTCTAGTAGCCAAGGTAATCACCTGACTTGATAGTAACTGATGGTTACATTCAAACCCCGAAATCACACTGACAGACGAGATGGAATTATCCTGATTGACTCAGAGCCAATGATCCGTTTCTGAATGTTGCTATACGGTAAATATAGATTAGGCCAAAGTGCTACAAAATACTATAATACTTACTCAAAATAAACCTATAAGAAGGAAATATTGGAGAATGTCTTTATGATTGGGTAGGAACAGCCACATCATTTAAAAAAAGATAGTTATATCTGTTTTAAAAATATATTTATTTATTTATTTATTTTAGAAAGAGTGCATGCGTGGTGTGGGGAGGGGCAGAGTGGGAGAGAGAATCTCAGGCAGTCTCCCTGCTAAATGAGCAGTCTGATTTGGGGCTCTATCACATGACCCTGAGATCATGACCTGAGCTGAAACCAAGAGTCAGATGTTCAATTGACTAAGCTACCTGGATACCCTGCTAGTTATATTTTAATACATAAAAACTTAAATCTTCTTAATGAGAATGGTACCATAATAAATGGATTTCTTGGCTTTGATTTGCATTTTAATTAAATTTTTAGACAACCGGGATCCCTGGGTGGCGCAGCGGTTTGGCGCCTGCCTTTGGCCCAGGGCGCGATCCTGGAGACTCAGGATTGAATCCCACATCGGGCTCCCGGTACATGGAGCCTGCTTCTCCCTCCGCCTGTGTCTCTGCCTCTCTCTCTCTCTCTCTTTCTCTCTCTCTCTGTGACTATCATAAAAAAATTTAAAAAAAACTACATAAAAAAATTTTTAGACAACCACATTTTAACATTAAAAAAAAAAACATTCATATATCATACTCATGGGATTTCCTCCAAATGGACCATTAGTGATAGGCACCAAAAATTTCAAGTTTTTGTTTTTATTTTATTTTTTTTTACTCTGTCCCACTGACACATTCTCAGCTACTCTACTCAGCCAATAAATATGGCTTACTGGGGATCCCTGGGTGGCGCAGCGGTTTGGCGCCTGCCTTTGGCCCAGGGTGCGATCCTGGAGACCCGGGATCGAGTCCCACATCGGGCTCCCGGTGCATGGAGCCTGCTTCTCCCTCTGCCTGTGTCTCTACCCTCTCTCTCTCTCTCTCTGTGACTATCATAAAAAAAAAAATAAATAAAAAAAAATAAATATGGCTTACTGATAGACTAGGAGAAGATATTTGTAATGTGTTGGGTCCTCAGTAAAATGCCCTGGTTTGGTAACTCACTATAAATACTTATAGGTCTCAATATATAGTCATGCAGCTAGAATTAAGTTCAAGGGAACTTAAGCTAAACAGTTATGTATATATATTTTAAGTAAAAATACAAGATTAGCAACAACCTTAAAAAGTATTAATTTTTGTTCTTGATTAAGAGACTGTGAGAGATTGTATTACTCATTGTGCTTTACTTTTGAATTTCTTAAATCTCTTCTCCTTCCAAGAAGCCCAAAGCACACTGATAGCACTTATATAATTATTTTAATAATTATATAATTAATGTATTAATTGAAAGAAGGAAATACCTTTTATATTCTAATGTAGCTCTGTTGGGTTGTTGGAATAAATTATTCTTTTAAAATGGCTTGTAGTTTTTATTTTCAATAATAAAACATCTGAATATTCTTGTCCTTCTCAAAATTCATTTTGAAATCCTAACCCAGAAGGTGGTAGGGCATTTGGGAAGTAGTTAGGTCATGAAGGTGCAATCCTCATGATTGGGAGTAGTGCCATTATAGAAGAGACCTCAGAAAGCTAGCTTGTGCCTTCCACTTCTGAGGATATAGTGAAAAAGTGCTGTTTATGATCTAGAGAGTGGGCTCCTACCAGATGCCAAATCTGCCTGCCAGTCCCTCGATCTTGGCCTTTCAAGCATCCAGAACTGTGAGAAGTAAATGTCTGCTGTTTATAAACTGCCCAGTCTGTGGTATTTTGTTACAGCAGCCTTAACAGACTAAGACAAGATGTTTCAGCTGCCATTTCCTAGTTGCAGTCAACACAGTTTTGCTTAACAGAATTATTGTGGCTGGTTTAAAATGACACATTTAATGACAAGGGACTGTCTGGAAATTATCTAGATTTAAATGGCCTAGAATAAACATTTAAGGTATGTTGTTTTTCGTTATAAAACTAGACAGATGAAAGCTTTTGTTTAAACGTCATGATAATTTGTTCAATTTGTCATTTGATGATCTTATATCTTGGCTACTTGGAGCAACTCTAACAGGGAATCTTTGCTAGTTTATTGCAGTATACTAAAGTATTGGATAGAAAGGTGAGGCTCTTTTATACTCTTTGTTACTCTTTCTGCTGAGGAAAGGGTGATGGAGTTAAAGAAGTATGAGTTGAAGAGGACTGAATTTATATTTAGGTGGAAATGAATTATTTACATTGGTGTGTAATTTTAACAGGTCTCAAACTGTTGCCTGGGTAAAAATATTTTGCTATTTGCCTACTTACCTCAAGATCTCCATTAGTCATAATTGGATAGTTACCAGTGAGTTTTGTCTACAAGAAGAATGCAGTTACAATACGTTTAGTTGTGGTTGGGATAGGTTCTGGGTGATGCCCAGGATGATGTGCGTTTCCCATGATAGGTTGCTGAAAGGATATCTAGCCCTAAAAATATTTCATTTATTTAGTGATTAATTTGATATAAATAGTCTGTCCTTTTAGACACTATTAGTAAATACTGTAAACAAAAAGAGGATGGAACAGTTCCTTCGCTTGAAGAGCTAACACTCTGTATAATTAAATGCAGAATGAGAACTACATTGTTCTTTTAATTCATCCTATTGTAGACCATTCATAGAGGTTAAGACATAATATTTGAAGTTCAGACCTGGGTTTGAACCCAAGCACTATCTATGGCTCTGTGACTTTGGCCAGGTTATTTAACTTCTCTAATGCTTAGTTTCCTCATCTGTAAAATAGGGATAAAATAGAATCTGCTGTATAGGGATGATGGAGGATTAAATAAGATCATTCATTTTAAGTATTTTTGTAAAATGCCTCACGAAGTACCAAATAAAATATCATGATTATCCTCCTCTTCCTCATTATCATCATCCTCATCCTTGATAGTATTGGAATGTTGAACCTGAAGATAAAAATCACATAAACTTTTGGGTCCAAGCCCAGTAATTATATATACATCTTAAAATGGGTGTTGGGCAGGGTGTAGGCTCTTCATCTCCATTGAAGCACTTTAGTGTAGGTCCTCCAAGGTTTCTGTGGAGCAATGTCCTTCTGAAAAGCATTTAGATAGTTTTTTTTCTTTTAGCACTTTAAATATGTTATTCTACAATCTTCTTGTTTTCATAGTTTCTGTGGAGAAATATCCATTTCTTTGAACATTCATTGTTTCCCTGTTTGTAACATGCTGTTTTTTTCTGTATACTTTAATTATCTTTTCAGATTATATCTTTCTGATTCTTTCTTTCTTGATACCTTTCAGATTATCTTTCTGATTATATGGGTTTGGTTTTACTTGAGTTTATTTTTATTGGAGTTGACTGAGATTCTTGAATCTGTAAATTTATATCTTTCACCAAATTTGGGAAGTTTTCAGCCATTGTGTCTTAGAAATATATGTATATTTTTCTGTATCAGTCACTTTCTCTTCTCTTCCTAGGGCTCAGACAACAAAAATGTTAGATATTTTCATTCTTCCACAATTCTTGAGACTCTCTCCATTGTTTTGAAAGTTTTACCTCTTTGTTCTTCAGTTTTAGTAATTTCTGTTGAACTGTGTTCAAGTTCACTGACTCTTTACTCTCCATTCTTTTGAGGTACTCTGCTGAATTTTTATTTTTTTTAATTTTTATTTTATTATTTATTTTTTTTCTCTGCTGAATTTTTAATATTAGATATCTTATTTTTCTGTTTTCTTACCTTGGTTCTTTTTACATTTTCTGTTTCTCTGCCAAGGATTTCAATATTTTTATTCATTTCAGGTGAATTCACCTTTATATTATGGAGCATGGTTATAATACATTATACAATTTTACAATTTTTAAAAAAATTGTAAATACATTTACAATTTTAAAGTTCTGGAAAATTTTTGCACTGCATATTCTTGGGATTGGTATCTGTTGATTCTTCTTTCACTTGAGAGTTGGTTCCCTTTTTCTATTTTTTGTTTGTTGAGTAAGTGGATTATCTTCCAGACTTTCTAAATCTTATGTTTTGATGTTCTTTTTCCAGTTAAAATCCTCTGAAGAACATTGATTTTATTTTATTTTAGCAGGCAGTCTACCTGGTGATGTCCAGACTGCAAGTTTTATTTTCCTTCTGGTTCCAAAGTCACTTCAGTTCCCAGAACCTTTGCTGTGCTTCTTTGGTTTGTTACACACATATACAGCATTGGTGGTGAGCCTGAAACTTGTATTAGTTCATACACAAAAAATAGGGATTACTTTCTTCTCCTCAACTTTCCGTGGGATTTCTCTCATGCTCTCTGGGTTCCTGGGGCTCATTTTTCTCCTTCTTCTAAGTAGAAAGATAGATTTCTCTTTTAGAGTTTTTGTTTTGTTGTGCTGTCTAGCAGTCTGCATGCCTGGAGTCTACTTTAAGACAAAGTAGTAAGAGAAAAGAGAAAAAAAAAATAGTGATTTTTTTCCGTTTTTAGAAAGTTTTCAAAAGTTTCTATTTTTGCATCACAGTAGTGAACCTGTTTGCTTGGTAGCTCTAAACATTTGGACAGATTTTTTCCTTTAAGTTTTAGATGTCTGTGCTCCCCCATCCCTTTTCCTCATTGATTGCAGTGCAGCTCCATAACTGCAGCTGGCCTTATGGTAGAACTGGGAGAGAAAAGAGAGAGAGGAAACAAAACCAAAAACAAGTTATAATTCCCCAAACACTCTGTGTTTTGCAGACACTCCTTTTCTGTTTTTTTTTTTTTTTAATTTCTTTCACAGTTTTGTTGTTCTTTGCACAGTTCTGCAACTGGGACTGGCTTTAGGTCAAATCTGAGGATAAAAGATTGTGGGGGGGGGAAGGGAAACAACACTATAGGTAGTTCTTCAAGTTTTGACTCGTCTCTTTAATGTTAATTATTGTTTACTTTTTAAAAATTTTTGTGTACTTTTTATATTCTGTTCAGTGTTTTTAGTTAAGAGAGATAAGCTATAGCAGACTTAGTACTTCAGCTTGACTGATTCTGCCAGTTTTTGCTGTAGGTATTTTGAAGCTCCGGTATTAGGGGGCATAACCACTAAGTTTTCTATGGTAATTTGACCCTTTTATTATTGTGAAATGTCTCTTTTTCCTCTTTTACTATTTCTTATTTTGAAGTCTAATATTTCTGATATTCATGTAACTGCTCTAGTTTTCTTTAGTGTTTGCATGATTTGTCTATTTAAAAAAATTATTTGTAGTCTATTTAGGTCTTTAAAGTGTGTTTCTGTAGATAGCATACAGTTGAGCTTTTCTTTTTTTATTCAATCTGATGAACTTTTAATTGGTGTGTTTAGACCAGGGGTCATCAAATTACTTCTCATGGGCCAAACCCTACCCATTACTTGTTTTCAGTATGGTTTGGAGGGTAAGAATTATTTTTACATCTTTAAAGGGTTGAAAACAAGTCAAAGGAGAATAATATTTTGTACACATGAAATTTATATGAAATTCAAATTCAAAGTGTCCATAAATTAAATTTTGAGTTTTGTTAAAAAAAGTTGTGGGAGGCCATTTCTCTTTTTATATAAATACCTGCATAATATCCAATCTTTTTTTCTTGGTTCACAAAGCCTAAAATATTTATTAATATGATCCTTTATAGAAAAAGCTGGTGACCAGTGTCTTTGACCATTTACATTTAGTATAATTTTTTACAAGTTTGGATATAAGTGTACCTGCTTTCTTACTGTTCATTTACTCTTTGTCTCTTTTGCTTTTTGTGTCTTTCCCCACTTTTCCTGCCTTACTTTGGATTGAATATTTTTTAATATTACAGTTTATACCCATTACTGGTATATTACTGTATTATAATTGTATACTGTCATACCTAAAATGTATAATGTTTTAGTTCTTGCTCTGAGTCTATGACCTTTTTTTTTTTTAAGATTTTATTTATTTATTCATGAGAGACACACAGAGAGAGGCAGAGATATAAGCAGAGGGAGAAGCGGGTTCCCTGCTGGGTGTCTGATGTAGGACTCCATCCCAGGACCCCAGGATCATGCCCTGAGCCGAAGGTAGATGCTCAACCACTGAGCTACCCAGGCGACCCTGTGACCCAAGTCTTTAACAAGTCTGTGTTTTAATAATAATATACCACTTCATGTATACTTTGAGGATCTTTCTTTTATTTTATTGCAGACTTTATGCTTCTGTTGTCATTTATTTTGCTTATACATGTTACAAATTCTACACAATACTAGTTTTTCACTATAAAAAATCTGTTGTATTTTAAAGAAATGAAAAGCGAGGAGAAAGTCTTACCCTTGTTTTTAGAACTTCTGGTACTCTTCAGTTTTCCTCTAGTATCGTTTTCCTTTATCCCAAGGAACTTTTTTTATGTTCTTCTTTTCTTCTGCAATTTAGAATCTGCTGTTATAGCCACCTAAGGAGTATTTGATTTCACATCTTGCATTTTTTAACTCTAGAATTTCTTTGGGTCCTCTTTCATTTTTTTCTTTGTTTTATTAGATACTTTTCTTTAAATTCTCAATATTTATGATAGTTATTTTGAAAGTTTTGTCTGCTTTTTTCATTTGTCTTTTTTTGGGATCAATTTCTGTACTGTTTTTCTGTTTGGGATATACAGAGTTACACAAATCTGTGAGTTACATAGAGTAGTGAAATATTTTTTTCAAAAAGCCTTTTTGTCCCTTTTATCTGTTATTTTTTTGGTAAGACTCCAATTACATATAAGTAAGACCACTTGAACTACTTAATCTGTCATGCTCATAAGCTACTGAAACATGGTTTAATCATAGGATCTTGCAAATAACTTTTGTGTAAGTGCTTGCTAAGTTAACAAAAAACGCATATAATAATAAGTCTAAGCATGTTAGCATTCAGCCTTAACATGGATTTTATTTATCCCTTTTGAAATATAGCACATTACACTAATTCAAAGGGGGAAAAACATGTTCCAGTGATTGAAGAACATGGTAGATGAAGTAATTCATTTTGAATGGCTTTAGTTTTTTTTTTTTTAAAGAGTTCTATTTATTTGAGAGAGAGAGAGAGGGAGGGAGAGAGGGAGAAGCAGACTCCCCACTGAGCAGAGAGCTGGATGTGGGACTCCATCCCAGGACCCTGAGATCATGACCTGAATGGAAGGCCGATGCTTAACTGACTGAGCCACCCAGGTGCCCTGGGCTTTAGTTTCTTAGTAGAAGAAAGTAGGTGGTGAGGTTGCATGTTATAGTATAGTGTTTGGGAGCTAGGAAGGACTTGTGAATTATTTACTGATATTCTATAAGTGGAATCCTGGTAATGAGGATTTGAGCCTGGTCCAAGGATCTAGTTTGGGTGAGACAGGCATGTTTTATTTTGTGCAGTATGGATATGGGTAGTGGGAAGAGGCTAGCTCAATGTGGATTTCAGGTGGGGATGGAGAGAGTTGGCAAAAGGAGAGTTTAATAGTATCTGATATATGCAGAAAGATACTCTCTAACCACAGTTGGACCTTTGCTGTTTTAGGATTAAAGTGAACAAGTTTGTTTGTTTATTTATTTATTTAATATTTTTAAAGAAACTCAGTAACAAGGAGAGGAGAATTGGAGGAACCAATCATAGGACCATAGGAAGCAATGATAGGATCTCTGAAATACTTACATAGTTTATAGAAGTCAGCAAGCCAGAAAGGAGCCAAAAAAGGTGTTTGCTTTTGTTGTTATTGGTTTGAGATGTAATATCTTAACATTGTTTACTTTCTCTTGGGAAATTAGGCTCCTTAATAAATTTGGTGCTATGCAGGTTCTTTATAGCCAAGGCAAACTTTAACTTATTTTAGTTTGTTTATTTATTTATCTATTTATTCGATATCAATTTTTATTTTTTATTTTTTTATAATAAATTTTTTATTAGTGTACAATTTGCCAACATACAGAATAACACCCAGTGCTCATCCAGTCAAGTGGCCCCCTCAGTGCCCGCCACCCAGTCACCCCCACCCCCCGCCCTCCTCCCTTTCCACCACCCCTAGTTCGTTTCCCAGAGTTAGGAATCTTCCATGTTCTGTCTCCCTTTCTGATATTTCCTACCCATTTCTTCTCCCTTCCCCTCTATTCCCTTCCACTATTATTTATATTCCCCAAATGAATGAGACCATACACTGTTTGTCCTTCTCCGATTGACTTATTTCACTCAGCATATTATCGGAGAAGGACAAACAGTGTATGGTCTCATTCATTTGGGGAATATGAATAATAGTGAAAGGGAATATAAGGGAAGGAAGAAGAAATGTGTGGGAAATATCAGAAAGGGAGACAGAGCATAAAGACTTCTAACTCTGGGAAACGAACTAGGGGTGGTGGAGGGGGAGGAGGGCGGGGGGTGGGGGTGAATGGGTGACGGGCACTGAGGGGGACACTTGACGGGATGAGCACTGGGTGTTATTCTGTATGTTGGTAAACTGAACACCAATAAAAATTAATTTATTAAAAAAAAATACCCTCCAGTTCCATCCATGTCGAAGCAAATGGTGGTGGATATTTGTCATTTCTAATGGCTGAGTAATATTCCATTGTATACATAAACCACATCTTCTTTATCCATTCATCTTTCGATGGACACCGAGGCTCCTTCCACAGTAGTTTTATTTAATCTTCATTATTTTTAGGCTGCTTCACCCTGCCTTTGTGTAGTTTTTTTCCTTTCTATTCTACATTGTTTGTACTCTGTATCTTTGATTCTTTAAAATAAAAACTTAAAATTTTTTCTTTTCCTTTAAAGAAGTCATAGCTAAGTAGGATAATACTTTGAGAGGCTTTGAGAGTACAGAATTCCAGAACTCTGAATTAAGATGTAGCATAACATCAAAAGAATTGAAAACACAGACCTAAATTTTGTTTGCAGTTTTTCATTTGTTTTTGGGCAGTAGGTGAAATAATACTGTGACATTTTCCATTAGCTTTTGAGTGGGTGTGTGTGTTTTTCTTCAGAAATTTCTACACCCAGACCATCTTCTCCAAGTGGATTACCTGAGGAAGATAGTGTTTTATTTAACAAACTGACCTACTTAGGATGTATGAAGGTTTCTTCCCCACGTAATGAAGTGGAGGCTTTACGGGCAATGGCAACTATGAAATCTTCCAGTCATCACCCCTTTCCTGTTACTCTGTATGTACCTAATGTTCCAGAAGGTTCTGTGAGGTAAGCTCTAATCTTTTTTTTTATTTCCCCTAGACATTTATGAAAATTTTTTGCGTGTTGGTGATGATGTTATATCATAAATCAGGCACAGGACTTACTGTGAATTCACTTTTACTCTCTAGACATGAAAAGTAAACATGTTTAGGTTTAGACCGTGTTGTTTATCTATTAGAGGCTTTTACAGAATTATGCTTAGAATATTATAAATGGAAATAGAACTTTAAGCATACCTATAATTTGTGTTTCTTTGTTCAGAAGGAACATAAAAACCAGCCTCCCCCTTGTTATATAACCTTGGTTCAAAAAAAACTAGAGCGAGTCAAAGATATACGTTTTTACATCAGACAGGGAAGAAGCAAAATGGCTTTTTCTCTTATGCTTAATTAGGAATAATATTGACTGTCATCTGGACCTTGAGTTTCTTTGAATCAGATCATGTTCTGCTACTCTCAGTGGCCTCTAGTCACACTTGTGATTATATTAAAAAATTCTTACTGTGTCTGGCCACTGATAAACTACTGCCTTGACCTGATTTTTTACCCTTCTCTTTTCTCTTGATCTCTCTTACTATGACATTTCAGTCTAAGTAGCTTCTCTGTACTTTCTCAAACACCATCATTATTCCTACCTCAGGACCTTTGCATATTCTTTCTTTTGCCTGAACAAATTTTCCTTGGTTTCGCAGCGGCTTTGTTATTTCTTTACAGTTTCACCTCAAACATTTTATCAAAAGAAACCTTTTTTGATCAGATCATATAACAGTTTTTCTTTTCCCTGTTATTGGGCCTTTTTTTTCTTCACAGCACTTTCTTTGACTTGGTATTATATATTTATTTGCTTATTGGTTTATTGTCTGACTTCCTCACTAGAATATAAGCTCCATGGGAGCAGAGTATTTGTATTTTTCTGTGCTGTAGCTTCAGTGTTGAGAGTAGTATCTGGTCCATAGCAGGTTTTCAGTAAGTGCTTGCTGAATGAACAAATAAAATGAACCAAGTCTTAGAAATTAGGTTAAATGTATCCTGAACCTATAAAATTCCTTGAAGGCCAATTTAGTCTTTTTTCAAACTCTGAAATGCCTATTCTCTAAGGTTAGAATGTGAAAAAAATGTTAGTTTAGTTCTGAGTACTAAAATAATAGCTATATAAACCTATAAGTTTTGGTAAAAATGCTTTGAATTTTTCGGGAAAGGGTTTTATAGATATAGTATTTGTGTGATATTTCTTAAAAAGTGTCAAAACGCCTTTTAAAGTTACCTTTTTAGTGTCAAAGTGCCAAACACACCTTGACAAAGACTTAGTGTTTTTATTTGCTTCTCTATTTCTACTGGGTACCCCTTAGTTTCATAGAGAGATCCTGATGTGGTCTTGAGATTTTAGGTCAATCTAGGGTTTAGGATTTACATAGGGAAAGTCAGAGAAATATATGCTCTGAAATTCCACAGACTCCTTTTACTTCTTAAAACTCTGTTATTAAGTTCAACTTTGGAACCACTCTGACCTTTTTTGCTTTTGGGTAAGAGAGGTCTTGGTCGAACAGTGGCCTAGGTCTTAGGTAAACTTACAGGTGCTGTTGTAAATAGAAATGAACTCTCCAGGGATAGTATTTGCTATTCTGTACTAGCATTCCTTTTGCCATAGTAGAAAAAGGGTAGCAATTTGGAATGGGTGACAAAGCTTTTACCAGGCAATGTATATACTTGGCTTTGGGAATAAATTAATTGCATCATAGGAGATACAAAAATTAAGTAATTGTTAAAAGAAGAACTTGTGTGTGTGTATAAATATGTATATATGTATATGCATTATACATATTCATATGTACACAAATTTAGCACAGTATGATTATTTTTTATGTTCTTCAGTTAAGATTGAATTGTTTTTTTCGACTGCCGTATCAGTATGATTATTTTAATACATTCTTATAACTAGTTTATTTTTGTGATTTTTAAGATAATTATGTTTATATGTCATTAGTATAGTAAAACTGTTTTTGTTCTTTGATAGTTAATATTTTATCTTATTTTTCATCACTGTTCTGTAGAATTATAGACCAATCCAACAATGTGGAGTTAGCTTCTTTTCCGATCTATAAGGTGTTATTCTGTGCACGTGGACATGATGGGACAACAGAGAGCAATTGCTTTGCATTTACAGAGAGTTCCCATGGTTCAGAAGAATTTCAGATACATGTTTTCTCCTGTGAAATTAAAGAGGCTGTAAGTATAATATACTATAGCAATTTGCTATCAAGTTGAACTAGGGTAATATTTTTGAACCCTAGTCTCACTGTCCTATAAATTAGTATGTATCATCATATCTTCTGTTACATAAATTTGGAAATTTCTAAAGAGAAAGTTAATATTTTGTAATGGCATAGAACTAAATGTGGAAAGCTAAATCTGGTAACTGTATTAAAGTGGTATCATAGGTAGGACGGTCTCAGCTTAACAGATGTAACAGAAAAATCCTCCTGGATGAGCTCTCCTCCTCACCTACCATGGTGGTACTTGCTCAGGCTTAGAAGGGCTGCTTTTGTTATTTTAACCAAGTTATTGGTCCATGTGACTTTTAAAAAAGCATCTGTAACAAAACGTGTTTTTCTGCTGGACTGATCGCTACGTATTGCTTTCATTTAGATGTTGAACTAAGATTGTTTCATACATCTCTGTGGTTTTCACTGATTATTTGTTATGTTCATTCACTCGGAGGATGACTTTTGCTCTATGGAACTGGCCTAATTAAAAATACAGATCTCACCTATAACAGAGGTATCAACTTGTAATTCTTTGAAAATGCTAGTTAAGTTCCTCTTAGTAATTATTAACTGGTGGTTTATTCTGAGACTGGAGAAGTAGTTCAGAATACATGGAGAAATTGTCAGTTACATGGAGAAATTGCCTTCTTCTCTGTAGTTGTTGGATTCTCTCCAAATTAAAAATAGGTTGCACTTAAAAAAAAAATCCCAGTATAATTAGGGCGCCTGGCTAGCTCAGTCCATAGAGTGTACAGCTCTTGATCTCTGGGTTGTAGGTTTAAGTCCATGGTGGGTGTAGAAACTAAATAAATACAAAAACTTAAAAAAATCCAATATAGTTAACATGCAGCATCATATTAGTTTCAAGTGTAATTAGGTTGTGCTTTTAGAACATTAGTGCTTACAACCATTTTAAAGGCATTAATAAATGTCTGGGGTGGGCAAATCTCAGGGCTTTTTGCTTTTGGAAATATAAATTTGTCATTAGGGAATGCTAAAAGCAGCTATCTTATTTTCTGTTTACCATGAAACATAAACCGTTGTATTATTAGGACTTCTAAGAGTTTATTTCTGGCCACAACATGGGAACTCACAGAAATATGTATTTCTGTGTGTTTGATACTAAGCATGAGGGATATGTCAGTTCTTATGCCCTGGTGACTTACTTTATTTATGCTAAAATGAACATGGATGGACACATAATTTAGATTGTAGCCATAGGAGTGAGGACCAGTGCCTGTATAAGAGGTTCAGGTTTGTTTTTGTTTTTTAAAAATACTTGTGAATCTATTTCATACCAACATTTCCATATTTATGTATATACTGTCTGCCTGGTCAAAGGTGTGATGGGAGAGTGAATGAGTATAAGTGCCTGGCACTAGGAGACAGTGAATATAAATATGTTGAAAGAATATGTGTGTGTTTGTGAATGAAGGGGTCCATTTCTGATCCTTACAACTTCACTACAGAAGTGAGAAAGCAGAGGGTAGAGTCCTGGCATTTCATGTTGGCAGTATTTAACACACTTGTGGTTTGTGGGTAATTGGTGCTTAACAGCAAGGAAATGAAGTTTGAAGACTTGAAGAACCTGCTGCTTGGAGAGGTAGAAACGCTGCTGCAGAAGGAAATTGAAAGGGACCTGGCTTGCAAGCATTTTTCATAATTGTGATGGTATGAAACCTCTCTTTTTGAATTATAGCATTCTCTTATTTACGGGTGGGGTAACTGCATATCATTTTTGAGAGCTGTAACAGTGGGTAAGCAGTGAACAAAGCTGCGGGAGAATTCTTAGCCTGACCATTTCGGATATGGTATTAAATAGTATTAATTGTATTTCTAGAGCTATGGTATTAAATAGTATTAATTGTATTTCTAGAGAGGATATTTGGTACATTGCAGGTTATGAGAAAGTGATGTCCATGTATTATTTAATTTTCTTTTTCTTAGAGTACATTTTAAAAAACGTTCCATTATGGGGTATTGGTGGCAAAATTCATTATTTGAAGGAGAAATACATGACATTTGTCATTAAACTTTATTATGAGAGACATTTCTAAATGAAAATATAATACAGTATAAATGCCAGGTGCATTTATAATGCTAAACATTTCCTTGTCATTCATAAAATCTCCATGATATAGATAATATTTATTTTGATTAGTGATCTCCTCTGCCTGGGCCAGTTCTAGTTTATGTATATTGTCCAGGTATATTATTAGTAGCACTCCTTCTTATTCTCAGAAGGGTTCTGGTTTGGCTGATAAATTGTATGGTTACCCTTTGTTTATCCCAAAGCTAAGAGAATAGACAATAGAGCGTTTCAAATGGAAGTCTGTGAATACCCATATAATTTTCAGTAATAATTTTCCTGTTGCTTAAATATTATAAAAAGCAAATGTGGATTTTGTTTTCATTATGTTTTATAAAGGTATTTATCGTTCATATAGTTTACATTCCAGCTACCTTTGGTTTTTACCCATGACTTATACAGAAGATATCCAACACCTTCCTCTTTCCCCTCAAAAAATAATTACTCCTTTTAATTACTCTGAAGTCTTTAATAGCATTTACTGGTTGTCTTGTTATCTGGTTCCTAGGTTTCTTGTTTTGTGGTGAAGGCACAACTTTAGTCCTTAGTTTTTGGGTCCCTCTTGATGGGCACAAACAATTGGCAAAGATAGTTCAGGAAAGTGACAGACATTCTTAATTGCCTAAATACTTACTATGCAGCAAAGTCACTAACTTATTTTTTTCCATTGTTTGCAGAGTCCCTGGATGAGATCTGAAGAAGTTTGTCAGTTAAAAGCAAGAAGATATCTTGTCTTTTCAAGCAGGAGTAGCAGCATGGCTGCCATAACTAACTATCACTGTGATTCTCTTATTTTACCATAAAATCCCAAAAGCAGCATGCACCAGTAGTGTTAGGGGGAAGCCAGTGAAGATCATAGCTCTGTGGAACCTGTGGCATAAGGCTTTAGGTATTTCCACAATGCATTTGACTTGGTAGATCCTGGAGATTCATCTGTAGGACTCTGTTGGGTGTGGATCTTGATTACCTATGGCAAGAGTTAGGGAATCCAACCTGAGGTATCTTGATGCCAATTATTTTGTTCAGGGAAAGTGATGTACTGTGTTTCTGCTGAAGAATTGCAGACAAAACAAAATGTCAGAAAGCATAGTGGAAAAAAGCCAGTGAGACTCATACCATTGTTGCATCTTTATGGATACATTGTACAAAACTGTAAAGATATTTTTAAAAGGCTTAGTTGACTCTGTTTTAGAATTTATTAATTCACTGTAACCAGTTTCCTCAAAACAGAGTTGATGTTTGTTGTTTGTATGTTTTAACATGATCTCAGGGTCTTAGCCTTGAGCCTTGTGTGGAGCTCTGCACTCAACAGGGAGTCTGCTTGAGTTTTTCTTGCTCTACACCCCCCCTCCCCCATGGTCTCTCTCTCTCAAATAAATAAATCTTAAAAAAAAAGTTTCTTGTATGATATGCCTCTTTTTTTTTTTTAAAGCTCCTTTCATTGAGTAATATTTGAATAATTTGCTAAAAAATTAACACCTCTTTTCAGGGTGCCTTTTATAGAATTTTTCTATATTTCTTGGGCGAACGTTTTCTTAACATATGGTATTTTTATTTTTATTTTTTTATTTTATTTTTTTTTCATATGGTATTTTTAAAAGAGTCAGTTATCTTTCACCAATATTAATGAAAAGGCCTTATCTTGGAAAAATCGGCTATGTCATTTAAATAAATACCTTTTTTGCTTAATGGCATTGTTTTGGGAGTATTTACGTGTAATATGTATTTGAGAATGTGGGAAATACTGAAATAAAGAAGAAAGAGAAGTTACCCAAAATTCCACTAGAGTTAAGATTTTGGGATATGTCCTTTCCATGTATCTCCATGTGCTCTCCCACACCCTGCCTTCAGAATCAACAACCCTAACAGTTACTTCTGTGTTTAACTAGTACTTTCTATAGATATATCTTTCTGGGGAAAAATTATACCATATTATTGGCCAGTGAAGCTTCCCCTTTTGCAAAAACTTACGTCTATTCTAGATTATTTGTGTGTGTGTATGTGTATGTTTAATAGTGTGGCATGTATAGAAATGTTTACTATGGTGTATATTTTGAATATTCTTTTCATTGTGTAATTGGTTACCCAATTTGTTTCAATAACTATAGACATTGCTGATCATTGTTCCTGAAGATACTGTACCTTACCAATCCTTGGATCACCATTCCAGCTATTCTTAAACTCTAGAATTCACAAATGATTTTAACCTTGTTGTTGGAAGTAGCAACTTGTAAGACATGGTCAGGATTAAATGCAGTTTGATTGCTATTAATAAACTGTTGTGTCCTACCTCCAAAAAGAGAAAAGTGTAATCTGATTTTCCCCCTAACATTCTCTACTACTCTGGCTTAGCCCCATATACTTAAAAACCTTTTTAAAGAGAAATTCTTGAGCCTCGCCACCTACTTTAGAATTTATCAAGTTCTTTGACTTTTTTGGTGTGGTCTGGTGTGACAGACTTGCTGATAACTCTGACAAAGAAAATGAATTAGTTAGAAGAAGATATGGGAGAGGAGAAAAAAATAAATATGGTTGAGGTTTATTTCCCTATATTTACATATAATATTTTCTTAAATGAGCTGAAGGTCAATGTGTAAAATGTAAACAATAGACTTCACATTTTATTTGAGGTTAGGAAGTGGGGAGTACTCAACTAAAAGTAGTTTAAAGTTCCTATTTAAACTTAACCTTGAGTCATACTCTTCAGTGACTTGTTTTTAGTTTGTTCTTTGCTTCTGTTTTCTTCTCTGACACTTAAATTATTGAGCTAAATCATATAAATATCCATCCGACGCTATATTTCTGCTTTTGGCCTACATAATGATTCCTTCTTTACCCACCTGAAGCACATTCAACTCACATGTGCTAGAATGTAAGCAGTGTATCCCTAGCACCTAGAATGATATTAAATATACTGAGGGCACTCAGAAAATATTTATTGAATGAATGTGTGAATTCATCATCTTAATTGTGTAAGATTTGAGGCTTGCAGTTCTTTTTTTTTAAGTTTATATTTTATTTTATTTATTTTTTTAAAGATTTATTTACTTATTCAGAGAGAGCGAGAGAGAGGCAGAGACACAGGCAGAGGGAGAAGCAGGCTCCATGCAGGGAGCCCAATCTGGGACTCGATCCCGGGTCTCCAGGATGTGGGACTCAATCCTGGGTCTCCAGGATCACACCTCCGGGCTGCAGGCGGCGCTAAATCGCTGCGCCACCAGGGCTACCCGAGGCTTGCAGTTCTTATTTATATCAGTCCTTTGTTGCTTTTGTCATTTTTACTCATTTATGTAAAATTATAATTAGGTAACACATTAGAATATTTAAAAAATTTTACAAGCACTGTGGTACAAGTGATACTACTGCTGGACGTGAATTTCAGGCTGGCAGGCAGCAGTCTTACACAGTTAAAAGTATAAGTCAGCTAGAGATAAATTGGCAATGGAAAGGTGGTTTAGAGTAATCATTGATTAATAGATGTAATTGTGGCTGTTGGAAGTTTGAGGACCACTTATTTTTGAATGCAATGAACCGTATAGGAGAAAAAGAGTATTTGGAAATGAGAAAAGACCCTATGCTCTAAGAAATTCTCTTGATGAAACTGGTCATTTCAGTCAGATAACAAAATATTTGTCTTCAACTAAAATAATTTGATGAGTAATTTGAATTCACATTATCTAAAGGGAAGGATTTGTTCATATTTAGAGAAGTCTCTTGTAATCTCCCAATGTGAGGTTATGACATTTGTTAAACTCTTATTTCATCTTGGTTTCATTGTTTAATCCATGGGTGGCATGAGAAATTTGGAAGTTCTTATATGCTTCGAGCTTAGAATTTTGAGATGGTGTGATACTGCTTTTAGTACTTCTTTAGAGTACTTCTCCTCTTTAGGGAAAGAGTATACCATTGAGATATAAAATATTTTTATATATTTAAGTCACCAGGGTGGCTTAACACTAATAAAATAAATCGGTCATTTCTATTTATTTTATTGAAGCTGGGAATCCAGGGAATCCTGCAACCATTTACCACAGCAACACTAAATAACAACACTCCAATCTCTTTAAACCATGTTACCATATTAGCTTATTGCTAAAACTATTATTTATATTATTCTGTGCCTCTCTAGCCTTCTGAAGCTGAGGAAAGTGAAAAGAGAAATTGAGGACTTAGGCTAACACCTTGTTTGTTTGTGTCTTTTGGGAAGTTTTAGATGCCAGCACCATTCTGATAGTTATCTTAGGATTCATTCATTGCAATATGGTATATTTGAAGGCCTAGACATCTATAAATAAATATTGCTTTTTTGTGAACTTCAATTAGTTAAACATCTTTATTGACATGTTTAAATGCTAGAGTTGAAAGAAGCAAACTGTATATAAAATGTTACATATTGTGTATAATATATAAACAAATACATAAATATAAGCTTATATAAAGGCCAACAATATATATGAAATGCCATTATATGTGTAAACATAAATATATAAATGCATGCTTAGTCTATATTTGCCAAAGTAAATTGTGACCATAGAAGGTTAGGGTCAATAATTAGGAGAGAGAGAATCAAAATGCAGTTAAAACCTTTGCCTAATGGTATTTCCATTTTTATTCTTTTAGGTAAGCAGAATTTTATATAGTTTCTGTACAGCATTCAAACGTTCTTCCAGGCAAGTGTCTGATGTTAAAGACTCAGTTATTCCTACCCCTGACAGTGACGTGTTTACCTTCAGTGTCTCCTTGGAGGTAAAAGAAGATGATGGAAGAGGAAACTTTAGGTGAGGTTATTTGTGAATAATAAAAATTGGTATTATGCTGAAATATAATATTGGTTAATATAACACTTCCAGAAGCCATACAATGTTGGTATACAGCTTTAAAATGATAAAGCAATAGTTTGCAGATGAATGAATATATTTCATTATTCTCATGCTTTCAGATATTTTGTGTAAATGATTTTCTTAGTATTACTAGAATAATGATATTATAGGAAAATGTAAAATAATAAAAACAGAAAAGGTAGAGTTTTGTCATTCACAATCATTTTTAATATTTGATTTTTCCCTTTATTTCTTTTCTTTTTTTAACGATTTTTACACATTTATTCATGAGAGATACAGAAAGAGGCAGAGACACAGGAAGAGGGAGGAGCAGGCTCCATGCAGGGAGCCTGAGTGGGACCCCATTCTGGAACTCCATGGTCACGCCCTGAGCCGAAGGCAGATGCTCAACTGCTGAGCCACCCAGGCATCCCAAGTTTATTTATCATTTTTAAAGATTTTATTTATTCATGAGAGAAGGAGAGAGAGACAGGCTGCCTCTGGGGAGCCTGATGTGGGACTTGATCCCCGGACTCTGGGATCATGCCCTGAGCCAAAGGCAGATGCTCAACCACTTAGCCACCCAGGCATCCCCCTTTGTTTATTTCTAAGGGGTATTTTTATATACTTGTATATACATAATTTTTTCTTTTAACTTTAATATATAAGAACTTTTCCATTAAAATGTTCTTAATCAAAATCATTTTTTTAAAGATTTTATTTATTTATAGAGATGCAGAGAGAGATAGAGAGAGAGAGGCAGAGGCACAGGCAGAGGGAGAAGCAGACTCCACGCAGAGAGCCTGACATGGGAGTCGATCCAGGGTCTCCAGGATCACGCCCTTGGCTGCAGGTGGCGCTAAACCGCTGCACCACCAGGGCTGCCCTCAAAATCATTTTTAATTACAAATAGCATGTTGGGTGGTTTGATCATCATTTAATCATTTTCCTCTTGTATATTTAGAATGTTTTCTTCTATTCACAAATAGATTATAGGGCACAGTTATGCTCTTTAATGATCACTTACGGGCCTTTAATTCTAGCAGTAACTGTTAGATATATATTTTGTCGAGGTTTTTTTTTGTGTGTGTGGATATAGACGTTGGGTCTTAGATAAGTTCTTCAAGGTATTTTCTCTTTTCAGATAAGACAACCTATATTTTAGACATTTATTGTCTTAACGAATTCTTAAGAATAGTCAATCTGGCCTAGGCTAGAATTGAAATTGTCCCTGATCGATATCTCTTTGTCCATCTTTTATTTATTTATGTTTACTTGAGTGTGTTACAGTTATCTTAAACAGTAGATGTTTAAAAGTCAGCTCTGAAAACTTTGTTTTGCCTTGAGTTTCAGCATGTTAACATATCTCTTAAGACCACACAACCTGCTAAATCAGAAGTGAATCTTACAAAGTAACTAAATAAGTTACATTCTTAAATTTGTTAAATTTAAAATCTAAAATTGAAATTATATCATTTAAAGATTCTTGGTTTTAACCTTTGTTAGAGATAAAGTATAAGGCCCCTATAAATCCAATTTAAAAATTAATGACTGATTTGCTGACTATAAAATTTGTAGTAAGCTGCTCTGGCAGTTGTCTCCTTTGAACTTCAGAGTAAATTCTAACCTTGGAGTAGATTATTTCATTGTGTTATTGTACTGATAATTTCTGTTGTTTTTGCATATTTCAGTCCTGTGCCTAAGGATAGAGATAAATTTTATTTCAAATTAAAGCAAGGAATAGAGAAGAAGGTTGTGATTACAGTGCAGCAACTTTCTAACAAAGAATTAGCTATTGAAAGGTAAGCAGCTTGCTCCTACATGCTACCAAAAACTCATATTGACATTGCTGTTGTGTTTCAAGAGCTATGCTATTGAATCTCTGTGTATTAATCACTGTGGCTTTTCACCATACTTGTTTCTCCATTTAAAAATGAAAATGAGAATCATAATGCTCTATCTACTTTAAATAAGTTAGATATAACTGGTTCATGAAAAAATCTCAATTGATGAGGGAAATAAATATGAATCCCCCCCGCAGTAATAACTGCTTCACCCCTGTTTAGTTATGTCCCTTATTCTTTTGCTGTCCCTTATTCATGTGTAGGACAAATACCTTAAATTCTCAATCATCTTTGATCATTAAAAAGTACATTTAGTTACTGGGATCTCAGGGGCTTAAAATAGATAGATACATATCTTTTAAATATATAAGCACACATACACATATATGCACATGTGTGTGCATTTATTTATGGTAATATTTGATCATATAAAACTAAAAATCTTGTAGGACAAAAGATACTGAAAACAAGAATAGCAAATGATAATTTTAGAAAAAGTATTTGTACTGTAAATGATAGATGAAAGGTTAATAACTATAATATACATAAATTTCTTAACAATTTGCAGAAAAAAGAGGAAAACGACCAAGAGTATGAATTGACAAATACAGGAAATCTCTTTACATGGCTAACAAACATATATGTGTAAAGATGTCCTGATTCACGAATAGACAGGGAAATGTAATTAAGGTAGCAGTAATATATCAGAGTAGCAAAAATAACATGTAGACGTTATTTTTGGGGATTTGGGGAAATGGTTAAAGTGTGTGTACATCCTTTTTGAAAAATAATCTGGCAACATCTATAAAATTTAAAAATCCACCTGTAATTGGTTGTATCAGTCCCATTCAGGGCAGTCTGTCCTGTTGAAAATAAAAATACCACTGTGTAGGAACATGTTTTTAAGGTTATTTATTACAGCCCTTTTTATGGTGGCAAAAAGCCAGAAATAAAAACAAATGACTATTCACTTGGCTTTAAGAAGTGGGAGCAATTGGTGATAATCATAAGAGAAAGAAAAGCCTCTTCATGAAGACTGCTGTAGAGTATGACCACTACATCCCCCCCCGCCCCCACCAGTTCTGTAGACTAGAATTAAGGTGGGGGCCAGTTGAGGTGCTGGCTGATGGCATCATGGCTACCTCTGTCCCTTATAAGTCTAGGAGAAGGTTTCTGGCCTCCAATTATCTCTTTAGAATGTTCCTTAGAATGTCAGAAATTTAGCTTTGCTTTGTTTCTGTCCTTGGGTTATCCAGATAACAGGAAAAATTCTGCTATATAATTCTGTCCTATAGTTGTCATCTTTTTTTCTTTCCTAGTGGTATAAAAATAATTGAATCATAAAATTCATGAAAAACAACTGAAAATTAAAAGTGTTTTTGATTTTTGAATATATTATTATAAAATAATGATGAGAATTTTTGTTTTTGTTAGCAGTAGGTATAGCAATGTTTGAATCTTTTTATTTGGAAGTTTACAGTTTCATACTTAAGAATTTGTACAGAGAACACCTGTATACTCTATTCAGAATCCCCTTTTGGGAACATTTTACCCCACTTGCTTTGCACCCACTTCCTCAGTCTCTCGATCTTTCTCTACCTACCTACTTAATTACCTACATACACTCACATAATTGTTTTTTTGAGCAATTCGATTAAGTTACATACATCATGGCCTTTTATTCCTATATATTTTCTTAAGAAATGTGTATTTCTGGATGAGTCTAGATGGCTTAGTTAAGTTCTGCCTTTGACTCAGGTCATGAATCTGGGGTCTTGGGATCCAGCCCTGTGTTGTCCTCCCTGCTCAGTGGGGAGTCTGCTTTCCCTCTCCCTCTGCTGCTCCCCCTGCTCATGCATGCATTTGCACATGCACATTTCTCTCTCTCTCTCAGATAAATAAAATCTAAAATAAAAATGTGTATTTTCCAAAAATGAGAGTAGGGATATATCTTATATAACTACATTATATGTAGCAACTTCCGTAAATTTAGCATTCATGTCATACTTTTTGTCTAACCTACCATTTGGCTCTAATTTTGTCTGTTAACTCAGTAGCATCTTTTTCCTCTCCATGTCAGGATTCCGACCAGGGTCAGATATTGCATTTAGTTGACATATGTCTTTGGCTTTCTTTAATCTGGGAACATTTCCACAGCCTTTCTATGTCTCTTATGACATGAACATTTTTGAAGAATACACCTATTTTTTCTCTTTTTAATATAGCATTGCTAATTTTGGGTTTATCTAATACTATCTGATTAGATCAGGTTATTTATTGCTGCATAGGTGATGTTTCCTTTACAGTGCATCACATTTGGAGGTACCTGATATCCATCTCTCCCTCACTGGTGATGTTAATTTTGATTGCCAAAATTTGATTGTCAAAATGTCTGATTTTTTCACTGTAATTCCTTTTTTTCCCCCTTCTTTGCAACTGGTAAGCAGTTTGTGGGGGAGATACATGCAAATATCTTGTTTCTCATCAAAATTTTCTTCTTGAGTTAACATTCATTCATAATTCTTATTCTTGTCTGATCCAATCTTTACTATGAGGAATGCAAAATTACAGTTTTCCATCTCCTCTGTTTTCTCTAGACTTGGCAGTTAGCCTTTGGCATTCTGAGGTAAATCAAAGATTTCCCTTCTCTTTTGCTTATTGATCTACTTATTATTGGTATACACTCCTGAATTTTTCTTCTTCCCACTACAGTAATTTATAGTTCACTACAGAAATTAATTATTTCAGTGTCCAAACTGTCCAGAATTTGCCTTGGGAGTCCCTTCACACCCTATGTCCTTAAGAACTTTCTTTCTGGCACAACAAAAGGCAGCTTTCCATTAAATAAGTCTGTAAGGTAACACAGGCAAAGAAGTATTAGGTGTTGAGTAATTTAACTCTTAATAATCATCATTGAAAAATTTTGGAGTTTTATGATTAAATGGTATATTACGTCTCTATTGCAGAGGCTTGCACTATGCTTGTATATGGGGTAATCCTTCCTTTTCCCAATGAGAAGTTCCAAGTTTGGTCAACTTGAAACCTTGATGAATGTGGGTAAAATAGTTGAATGCACTTAAAATATTTTCTTCATTAGTTTAAAGATTTACACTAAATCTAAATATATCATTCTAAATATATTTACACTAAATCTAAATATATCATTCTAAATATATCACACAAAATAACTTAGAAATGGGGCTTTTGCCTCCTCTTTATTCAGAAGCCAACTTCATTCAGACTCAGTAGTCTTCAACATCAGTATCTTCATCATTATTCTTCTTTCTGAGTAACTTTAAGGCATTTTTCCAAGGTACATTATCTTAACTTCTGCTTGAGCTATCTGAGATAAAGTACTTTTTTGACCCAGTATATGTTGCTGTCATTAGAAATTTTACCTAATGCCAGAGTATGACAAAATTAGTTAGTAAAGAAATAACGTTGTGTACACTTTGTGTTTAGATTCGTAGAAAGTCTATTCTGAAAACTAGAGGAAGTGAGATTGTTAAAATCCATCTAAGCATTACAGATGCTTGTAATTTCCAGTAGGTTGATGGAGATGAGAAGAGGAAGGGTTCTAGGGCAGAGTGTATGTAGTGGTCAAATTTTAACTAAATCCTTACTTGAAACATTGAGTCTTCTGGATGTTTGAAAGTGAATAACATGTTAGAAGTAGAGAGTTAAACACCTTTTAAGTATTGTTGGTGTACAGGAATGATTGTGTTTTGGGAATGGAATTAAACCTGATGTCAGACCTGATGGACGTCTTGTGAGTATGCTAACTGTTCACTGGGTTCACTGGGAGACAGAGACGGGAGTAGGGAAGGAGATGAGGAGAGATGGGTTCTGTGCCCGTGAGTCTGTAGACTAAAGTTCTGTCTGTGCATTTTAGTTAATATTGCTGTGTGTCACAGGATAGACAAGTCCTAATGCCCAAAGTGTATTAAAAGTAGAGGAGGTAAAATAATCCCTTTACAAATGCCCTTTTGTTAGTTTTTAGGAAGGACTGTTCTGGGAGTGTCTTTTAATTCACCACTTAGAGCTAGATGTAGTCCTTTACTTAGTCATTAAAATGGTAGAGGGAGCGAGCAGAGGAGTGAAGGGAAGGGCTTTTTGCTAGTATCTCTACATCTAGAAGACAGTTTTAAGTTAAAACCATAGGTCTATGTGTGCGTTTTTATGAAGTACCTGTGTTTATTGTGGATGAAGTTCATTGTTTTGTAACATCTAAGCTTTTTGGTTGTCCTGAGGTGACAACAGCTAGCGAATTAACCAATTTAGAAGTTTCTTTTTGTTACCATCAATAGGAAAGAAGCATCGTGGACATGGAATTGTTAAGCTGTCTCTGAGAAATGTCAGGACTTACTGGGTTGGCAGCAAAGGTGCAGAAGGAAGTATAGAGGGAGAGATGTATGCGGATGTGTTTGTATTTACATTTTAATGATAAGTGTTAACGTGTGTGTGTGTGTCTCTGGCTGAACTATAGTAGTACATTAAGTGATTCAGTAGGAACATACCTCCTTGCTAATATTTGAATAGTACAGATTGGATAATGACTTCTTTTAGAAGCGTTATACGTTTCATACTCTGTTACTTTATATCTCAATTTTAATTGAACATTAAGGGATTGCAGTATTTTAATTGCAACTCAGCCAGTATCATTATCTAGAGACCTGTTGCCATTTTTTTCTTTTATGATATTTTTGTTGCCAAGAAAGGCAGGATTACATTTTTTTTTCTTTCGGATGGAGATGATGTAGTATTATTGGTTATCAAAATACTCATAGTTTGGGGACTTTGAAATGGTAAATATTCATGGTGTGTAAAAAAAGCATGATACATAACTGTACAATCTTAAGTCCATTAAAATGCTCACTTGTATAGATACACACATGGGACCTAGAAGTTAAACTGTAAATTGCTTGTGATTATAGATGACTTGGTTCTTTGCTTTTTGT